TTGTGGAAAATCGCAATAGCGCAACACCTGAAATTTCCCTTTTCGTTTTTCTTCTGAAAATTCGAAATTTCGTTGTTGAAAATCCGGAATATCTTTCTTTTCGAAAATTTCGATTTCCAAACCCCTTTCTCTTCAAGGAGATGAGGCGGCTATGACATGGCAAACACCTGACACACCCACACGCTATCTAGGTATCCTGATGACGAAAGAAGGACTGGCACCCCAAATGGGCCCGGCTATGATGGCCAAACAGATTAACAAAATTGGAAGATGGGGCAATGCCTTTACTTCCCTTATAGGCCGAGCACTGGTGCTCAATACGTCGGTCTTCTCAATGATGTGGTACATTGCCTCTATCTGGACAGTCCCTGACAACTCGATTAAGGAGCTGAACAGACGGGCCAGGAGTTACCTTTGGACAGGAGACCCCAACAAAGACAAGTGCATATCTAAGATAGCCTGGCAATTCATCACAAGAAGACCACGCGATGGGGGCCTAGGAATCATTGACCCCGGAACAGAAAAAAAGGCTCTGCAAATTAAATGGATCATCAAACTGCTGATGAATCCGGACAGCGCCTGGAATAACTTGGCTCTGGACAGTATCAGATCGGTAGCTCCTATTCCCTCCACGAACGACATGTCAGGCCTATTTTGGGTAATGAACAAAGAATGGGTGATTTCCACAGGACGGAGGAACCGGACGAGGAACAACGGACCAGAAGACCATCGGCCGCCCACCCCCTACTGGCCGGCATTGCTTCGATCATGGAGGAAAATAATCCCTAACAAGATAAACAAACCTAAATCTAAAGACGGAGTACTAAGACAACCGCTCTTCGGAAATGAATGGCTGACAAACGAAGCCAACAACCCTCTTTTCCTACAACAGAGATGGCTATCATGGGTCAAGAACGGCATCTGGAAAGTAGACCACTTGTTGATGGAGGACAGAAAAGACTGGATAACAGAACAAGAAGCTAGTGCCCGACTGAAAGGCTGCCACAAACGAGAGACCAATCTCCAATACATACTCAATTGTATTCCTCAAGATTGGAAAGATATCCTGGTAAAGGATGAGTCCTGGAGACCGGGCGAATGGGGTCTTTTGATTCAAGACACATCCCCTACTAGAGCTATCAATTCTCTCACATGCAGCAAGGCTCACATACCAAAGCCAGTTTTCTCTCCTTCCCGGTCTCCTTCACCAAGATGAACAGGCCAGCTATTTTCAACGACAATGTAGAATCAGCTATATTGGACTCTTTCCTCCTAAGAAAAGTAAGGGTCCTAGGCTCATGGCCAAAGGAAATTTTGAGACCAGATAGGGCAATCCGATCCCTGGAATTCGACCCAGCAGAGTGGGTCTGGAAGCCAAATGCCACCAGCAAGTTCAAATCAAAAATCCCGATCCAGGACGACTCAGTTAAACTCGGATACAGACTATCTCTGAAGACCAAAAACCCAGATCCAATCATCAAAAACAGATGGCGGAACCTCGTGGGGCAAGAAGCAGACAAAATCACACGATTACATTGGGAAAAATTCAATCGCATCAAACCAATCAAGATCAGAAGCTTGCAATGGCTGATTGCTTACGCAGCCCTGCCGGTGAATCAATGGCTACACATTAGACGGAAAACCACAGACCCAGACAGTTCAGAATTATGTGCAGTCTGTACTGAAGGCTCGGTAGAAGATATAGTCCACTGCCTAGTCCTCTGTAAAGAAGCAACCGAATACTGGGCGAGAGCGTCTTCACTCTGGGATTCCCTCTTCTCTTCTCCCTTCCCCAAACAACCCATTCAACTGCTCCTCTTGACTAACATCCCTGATCAGGCTCAGAAGGCTGAGAGGACCTGGTTTGAACTCATCAGAAAGGTGACCCTATGGGTCATATGGAAAGAGAGATGCAGTCGAACAATTGAAGGACTCTCCAACCCACGGGAGAAAGTGTGGATGAAACTAAAACAATGATTCAAGCCGAGATCCTGTGCAGATGGCGGAAGATCAAGCGAGCCTGGTTCGAAGACGAAGAACAGCGGAACAACGAGAGGCAGAGATTCTACAGGAACTGGCTGGTGGATGGCAAGATCGGAGAATTGCGACAGGACCTGGTATGCTGGAAAAAATGGCATAATTCAAATCCAGGAAGGGGTTCCCAACATCAGACGTCGCTGGAAGGCTTAGGCATGTATGAACTTGGTTGTCTGACGAATTTTCTCGCCACTCACACATAGACAATCCCACACATGCCCATACATGCATAAGAGAAGTGGAGAGAGGAGGCGGAGTCCAAACTGCACACAGATGGAGATAAGCAGCGAAAGACGGGCATGCACAGCTGGGGAGAATACCCACAGTGTTTCTCACTCTCTAACACAACTCCCAACAACCAATCACAAGAAGAACCTGCGAAGATCACAATTGAAAATGTCACTGATGATGAGCCACTCACACAATTATCGTAATAGAGTTCGTTCCAGTATCTCGCCACACTCAGAACTCACACCCCACTCTCTATCCTACACCCAGTTAGTAGCGCTGCATCAGAACAGCCTCCTAGAGGCCAGCGCCAACCACCCTGATGAAGAACAGGTCCTGCGATGAAGTCTTTTGTGCCGATGGACAACTCTGACGAAGGAACAGGCAGCTATGGCTGCCACCACCCACGAACCACCACTGTAGAGCCTCGGTACAGCCCGCCCATACGCAAATACCCCCAGGGGTAGGTGCGCTGAGGATGCCCCAGCTACGACAGACTCAGAGTGGGCCGGCTATGGCTGCTGTCACGGCGCGTCTCAGGATGCCGCCTGTAGACAGGTACCGCCACCAACTCGCTTGGCTTCTCCAACGCTGCTTCGCGAGAAATGAACTGCCAAAAGCCTTGAACCGATGGGCCTAACCTATCTATAGACTCTCTAGACCTAGACCGGACTGACTGTCCGACTGGTACCGTTGTTGTTTCGGCCTCTCGGCCTCTACCGGACCCAGCTATAGGCTACAGGACCATCTAGCAGCATAGGCCGCTTAGGGCCTGTCTGTCCTAGGGGTAGCCCGGGCCTGCTATCAGCACTTAGGGTAGCTGTAGGAATTCGGGTTAGTACTGGGCCTGTATTTTCCCAGATTTGCAGATCCGTCCCTCACGAATTTCCTTACGGGCAGGTCTCTTAGTTAGCCCTCAGCCAAACAAAATTACGAAGCTAACCCTACCGGTTAGTGTACAGCCTCGTAGACAGTCTCGGCAGTAGAAATCAGCAAGTCATTGCAGGCTTACCCTCCCCGGGAGCGAGGACCTCCGAGCTAGGGGTGTAGGCGAGGTGAACGGCAAGGAAGGTTGCCCTTTTGAGCCGCTTCATATCGCAATACAACTGACTTTGCTGTCTTGAGCAGGTCTCTTCTGTAGAACCACCGGTTCTCAGAAGGGGGCTGAAAAGCGAACCTGACAAGATACTGTCGGTCGGGGCCTGTGCCCCACTCGTCCTCAATCCACTCCACGTCATATCCCTTGCCAGGGATTGGTGGACCGAATTGAGGGGGCCGGTCTGGGAATGCATCAGCTGGCGTGAAAGGCAGCAGCTTGGATGCATGGAAGACCGGGTAGGTGCGTAGATGCAGCGGGACGTCAATGACATATGACGGACCGAAGGGATCAGCGCCAACTATATCTAGGACCTGCCATGGACCCAGGTAACGTGGCAACAGCTTGGGAGAGATACCCTCCTCCCTCGACAGCTCAGAGCTGGCCACCCAGACATGGTCACCAGTGCGGATGGGGGAAGGCCGCCTGTGGCGATTAGCTTGTTCAATCATAGCCTTTTGGGCTTTGAACAAGTTCGCGCGGGCTCTTTCCACATCTAGACGATAGCGTCTGGTGAACTCTGCGGTGCCTGGTGTCAGATCAGGCTTAGCCTTATCGATGATATCATCGTGAGGTTGTCGTGGCTCACGTCCCCAGTGTAACCGGTAGGGACTGAACCCTGTCGAGGAGTGGACAAACATGTTATACATGAGTTGTGCCCTCGCTAAGTGAAGATCCCAGTCCTGCTGATCTAGAGAGATGACATGACGCAACAGCTGGAATAAGACTTGGTTCATCACTTCAGCCAAACCATTGGCTTCAGGATGGTGACCAGAAGTCATGTCCAGTCGTGAGTGCAGATAGTCCTTGCAGTACGACTGCCACTCATCGCTGCAAAATCTGGGGGCTCGGTTACTAACAATAGAAGTGGGCGGTCCATAGTGTGTGACCCACCTCTCAGAGAAGGCTGCTCTCACAGCTGGTACCCTAGCTACCTCTGGTAAGGGGATGAACTCTGCGTATTTGGAGAACCTGTCCACGCAGACCATAACCTGACGCATGCCACGGGGGGTGGTCTTGCCTAAATCTGTGAAGTCTATCGACACAGATTCAGCAGGGCCATCAGGTATGGGTAATGGTTTGAGCAATCCCAAAGGAGGTTTACGTTGTACCTTGTTCCTTTGGCAGAGCTCACAGGTATTCACATAACGCAGCATCTCACTCCGCATCTCCTTCCAGAAGAAGCACTGCGACAGGGCTGCATAAGACTTTAGGAAACCAAAATGTCCACGGGCATCATGACACTCTGACATCAGCAGTGTCCTGAGCCGCTGGTCCTGAGGAATGCACAAGCGCTCCTCACCTCTGCTGCAGGTATACAGCAGGTCTGAACTCAGGGCATAGCCTGGTTCAGAGTTAGGATCTGCTTGCAGATTCCTGACAATGGGTCCATAAGTCTCGTCCTGAGGCAGTAGACGAGCGATGGTCTGACGGGTCTCCTCTCCAAAGGAGTGAGTAGAGGAGATCAGAGCAAAAGAGTCAGGCCTACGAGAGAGGGCATCTGCTACCTTGTTGTAGCAGCCCTTCTTATGTTTCAGTTCAAAGTCGAACATGTCGATGAACTGAATGTATCGTGCCAGCTTATCATTCAATTCTCCCTGGGACTTCATCCACTATAGAGTGGAGTGATCTGAAAAGATCTTGAAGTGCCTGCCCAGGAGGAAGTGCTTCCAATGTTTCAGGACACAAACAAGAGCATAAAGCTCTTTCTCGTAGGTGGAGTCCTAGAGCTTTTGAGTCTTGATCTTCTTACTCATAAACTCTACAGGCCATAGACCATTCCCATCATCCTGCTGAAGAACTGCCCCAATGCCATACTGACTGGCGTCAGTGGTCAGGATGAATGGCAGAGTGGGGACAGGTAACTTTAGTACAGGCGCACGAGTCAAGGCCTTCTTGAGTCGTGTGAAGGCCAGCTGACAGTGGAGGGACCAAAGAAAGGGTGTGTCCTTCTTTGTGAGGTTAGTCAGGGGTGCAGCCACTGCAGAAAAGTTCCTGACAAACTTTCTGTAGTAGGAGGTCAAACCCATGAAGGACCGGACATCCCTCACTGTCTGAGGCGGAGGCCACTCCTGAATAGCAACAATCTTGGCTGCTTCAGGAGCCAGGCCATCTCCAGAGATTACATGACCCAGGTAGATGACAGAGGGAACCCCAAAAGAGGACTTCTCTCTGTTGATCTTGTAGTGGCTGTCACGTAAAGACTGAAGAACTAGAGCCAAGTGCTCCGCATGTTCCCTGGCAGTTTTGCTGAATACCAAGATATCATCCAGGTAGACAACCATAAACTTGTCCAGGTAAGGCCTGAAGATGCGGTGCATCTCTGTCTGGAATGTGCCTGGGGCATTGCAAAGTCCGAATGGCATGACCAGGAACTCGTAAGTCCCATACCTGGTCTTGAAGGATGTCTTATAGACATCCTCCTCTGCCATCTCAATCTGGTGGTAGCCAGATTTGAGATCGACTTTGCTGAACACTGTACAGCCCTGCACCATATCCAGGAGGTCATCGATCCTAGGAAGTGGCTCAGTACTCTTCCTAGTGATCTTGTTGAGACCCCTGTAGTCAATACACATCCTGAACTCGTCGTTCCCTTTGGGTACAAAGAGCACAGGTGCACCGAATTCAGATGTGTTGGGTCTGATCCAGCCTTTGCTGGTCAGGGTCTCAAGCTGCTTTCTGAGCTCCTCAAGCTCAGCAAGGGACATCCTGTAGATGCGGCCCGTGGGAGGAACCGCTCCAGGCAGCAGCTCGATGTGATGCTTAGTTGGCCGGTTGGGAAGTCCAAAGGGCTCCTGCATCAGGTCAGCATACTGATCTACCACCTGTTGTATCTCAGGAGGACAGGAAACAGGGGGGGCATCTGTTTGCTTGACCAAAGCAATAAACAGACGCTCATGGTGGTACTGCGAGAGAGAGCATGGAACTCCCTCGCTCTCAGGCGGTAGCAGGAGGTCTTAGGATGGTGATCAGCAGCAATCATGCATTGCTGATACACCCCCTGGCTGTCTGGTAGTTCAACCCTAGGGATCTGCCAGTTGATCCTAGGGTTGACTGCCCTCAACCACTGCATGGAGAACACCAAGTCAAAGGGAAGCTCAGGGAAGATGTAAAAGTTCAGACTGTGTCTGACTTTTCCTGCAGTATCAAAGGTCACAGGGATGCCCTTGACCTTCTCCCTGATGCTGAGTACTGTAGAGTCACCAATCCGCACCAGCAGCGGATGTTGCAGCTGTTGAACTTTCATGCCCAAGTGCAGCTTCTTAACTGCACTGGGAGACATGAAGTTCCTGGTGGCCCCGCAGTCCAACAGCCCAGTGATCCTGGTGCTGTTGATCAGTGGCCGAAGCATGATGAGTTCAGACTTGCTCTTCTTCTGTTCTTTCAAATGAAAGAAGAAGGCTGCAATAGACTGAAGTTCATCCTGCCCCGGGTCCTGATCCGGGTCAGGATCCTCATAACAAAAGGATGCTGCCCGCGCAGTCCCCAAACACACATCATCATCATTAGTCTCAACTGAAACAGCTGCAGATTCACCTACCTGAGTAGATGAAGATGCAGCACTGGAGGGAACTGCAGTCCCCAGGGTCTGTTTCAGTTTTTTGACTGACTACCTGGGCCTGGCATGTAAGGGCAGTCCTTCAGGAAGTGCTGGCCCTCACACCTCAGGCAAACCCCTCTCTCCTTTCGTCTTCTCCAGACTCCCTCCTGGATCTTGAGGTCATGCCAGGGGAGTGTGGAGGGATTGAGAGGTTCAGCTGGCATGTGGACGTCTCGAGGCAGATTAGGGCGCTGGGAAGAGGAAGGTCGACGTCCCTTATCCTTCCCCTTAGTAGTGGCTGAGGCTGTGGTGGGGGAGTACTTTTTCTGCGCCTGCAGAGCTCCCAACACAGCCTGAGTCACCACTGCTGCAACATTTGTCTCAGCAGCATATCCGGTCCCACCTGAAGGCACATCAGGCTGGGAATCGATATCTGATCCTGAGGCTGCCTTTCCCCTTCTGTTGCCTCTAGGGAAGGCACCTTTCCTCCTGTAAGAGGTTGGGGCCTGGACATGGAGCTTGGCCTCCGTTTCCAGGACGACCAAAGGACCTCCAGTCCTTGTACCCAGCGCTGTAGAGTGCAACAACGAACTTCTCAGGCACTGCCCTGCAAAAGCTGGTCAACATATCATCAGGTGCCATGACCAACCCAGGGGTGGAGGTGAGCTGCTCGAATTCAGCAAACAAGGCCTGTAGGGTACCGCTGTACCGCTGCTGTCCCAGGCAAGCAATCCTGTCAGCAGCCTTGCGGGCCCGCTCCTTGTCTGCAAACCGGTCCTCCAGGGCCTGCAGAAGTCTGTCTACCCCCAACCCAAAGGCCCAATCCTCCATGGACTGCTGCAGACTGCTGGAAGTTGAGGTGGCCCACTTCAGTGCAGACCCTTCCAGCAGCCCCAAAACAGTTGCCACCTTAGTTTGTTCTGCACAGACAAAGCCCCTCAAGTAGGCTCTGGTCCCAGCAGCCCAGTCCCCAACATCAGTCTTGGGGTCATCGCCCCTGAACTTGTTGGGAGCAGGGATCTTGGGACCTCTGTCTGCTGCAGTCACAGCAGCATAGGTTGCCTTTACTGAGGCCTTCAGGGAAGGGGTAGATGACCGGGAGGAATGTGCAGATCCAGCATGGGATGGAGGAGGGGAAGGAGGTTGTGAAGGAGGAGGAGAGGGTTTGGGTTGCAGCAGAGGGAGCTGAGGAGTAATCAGCTTGGCGGCTGCCAGCTGAGCAGACAAGCCCTGGATAGCATCCAGGATCTTGGACTGTTGAGCTGACAGCTCGTCAACCCGACGCTCCAACCGCACAAAACAGTCATCCCAGTTTGTGAACAGGGAGCTGGTGATCTTGTGCTCCAGCAGGATCATCTCAGCCATATGCTTGGTGATCTGGGCACAACGGTCATCAGCAAGTGACCTCTCTAGCTGCTGCAACAGATACTCCCTTCTGGAGTGATCTGTTGCAGCCTCTAGCTCAGCAGCCTCCTGTCGTGCCAATTCAGCTACCCTGGCCTGTTGCAGCTTGAGCTGCTCTTCTGCCTCCTTCTTCAGCCTCTGAGTAGCAGTCAGAGGTGGAGGGGGGGTAATGGAGGTAGAAGGTTGTTCACCTTCTGCCTTCACCACCACCTCTACCTGTGGCTGCTGCTCATTTCCCTGATCCGACATTTTCCCAGTTCAAATAAAAACCAAAAATAAAATAACAGCAGACAGAGCTGCAGCGATATTCAGATTCCTGCAGACACACTGGAATCGCTGCAGCAACTCAACACTGGAGTAGGTGGGTGTACAGGCAATCAACGGTTTGGGTTAGAAGGGTGTCTCTGGGGTCAGGTGTCAGACAGACTGTAAGTCCAGCAAAATCAACAACACGATTTCCTTTTACTGACCCTGGACCACACTGGAGTTAGTACAGTCACTCCACTACTTTTCCAGAGACCCACTACAATTTCTAGTGCCCACTAGAAAACAAGAGTAATCAGTGAGAATGATAGAAAGTGGTCAGTACAGACAATAGAGATCAATCACAACACGCGATGCAGACAGATACCCAGTATCCTGACTCCAACTCACTTTCAGACCCTGATGACTCTGGCGGCCATACCCTAGGGTATGACGAATTCCAGTTTTCACTTTGTCCAGTGAAATACTCAAAATCCAAATCTGCGATTTGACAATACTGATTGTTTTCAATTTGCGATTCACTTTGACGGACAAAATTAGAGTTATGACTGACCCTAGATAGCACAGGCTAAAGATAGACTCAACGCAACACTATAATTCACAGTATCACTACCTTTTCAGTACAGAATTCACTGTTGGAGCATCCCAGGACAATCGCAATACAGTATAGCAGTCACAGAACCAATTTGGACCAGAAAGAGTCAACTGAGGAGGCGATATGAGCAGAGAGAGGTAGGGGAGAGATGGCTATGGCTGTCATGCAGTCTGCGATTTTCACATCCAGTCACTGGCAGACAGATAGACCATTATCTTTCACTAATCTACTACTATCTGGATCGCAATACAGGTAGGTGCATGGAACGGACTCACTTTCTGCGAATCTTGCAGGAGATGATGAAGATCTGGCTATGGCAGATGAAACCCTTGTCTCGCCAATTTCCTCCAGCGCTTCTTCCTGACAATCCCACGCACAGAACTGCTTCAAAATCGTTGATCCTCCTCAGGATCCTGTAGCGCTGCACTCCCTTCCTCCAGATACTCTATATCTGGTCCTGTGGTCCCCAACTCGCCAACACCAAAATATCTCGCCACAGTGTCAGGTAGCCGATGATGCTAAAAATAGCCCCAGATGGGGTTATTCCTCCTAGAGATTGATATACTGCATCAATCTCTATCAGCGCCACCTAGGGATAGTGCCGCTCAGGGTTCCCTGATGTCTTCAGGGGTAACTCGCCACTCTGGGGTAATTCGCTGTATCACCCTCAGGGTTGGCTATGGCGAATCAGCCCTGTACTCGCCACTCCCTACCAAGCGCCCTGACAGGCTCAGTGCGCTTGTTCAGTGCAACCACTGAACACTTGAATTCACCGCTGAAAGTCTTCTTCCCTGCTGACTCAGTACTGGGGAAGATGAATCGCCATGAAACTCTCTCCAGTATATCGCCAGGATGAGAAGATGCCTCAGTGCGCTCAACCCTCAGTGCTCCAATTCCAATCTCGCTCCGATACCAACTATTATGAACTTGGTTGTCTGACGAATTTTTTCGCCACTCACACATAGACAATCCCACACATGCCCATACATGCATAAGAGAAGGGGAGAGAGGAGACAGAGTCCAAACTGCACACAGATGGAGATAAGCAGCGGAAGACAGGCATGCACAGCTAGGGATAATACACACAGTGTTTCTCACTTTCTGACACAACTCCCAACAACCAATCACAAGAAGAACCTGCGAAGATCACAATTGAAACTGTTCTGATGTAGCGCTACTTACTGGGTGTAGGATAGAGAGTGGGGTGTGAGTTCTGAGTGTGGCGAGATACTGGAACAAACTCTGTTACGATAATTGTGTGAGTGGCTCATCATCAGTGACAGTTTCAATTGTGATCTTCGCAGGTTCTTCTTGTGATTGGTTGTTGGGAGTTGTGTCAGAGAGTGAGAAACACTGTGTGTATTCTCCCCAGCTGTGCATGCCTGTCTTCCGCTGCTTATCTCCATCTGTGTGCAGTTTGGACTATGTCTCCTCTCTCCCCTTCTCTTATGCATGTATGGGCATGTGTGGGATTGTCTGTGTGTGAGTGGCGATAAAATTCGTCAGACAACCAAGTTCATAACACAGACAGTTCAGAATTATGTGCAGTCTGTACTGAAGGCTCAGTAGAAGATATAGTCCACTGCCTAGTCCTCTGTAAAGAAGCAACTGAATACTGGGCGAGAGCGTCTTCACTCTGGGATTCCCTCTTCTC